GACCGTTGCAAAGTGTGCAAACAAACATTGCGGCCATTGTACTGTATCTGCTTCTTGGCGTGGTTTATCATATAAATGAGACGTCACATGTTTGCCCATGTCATGGTTACACCTTCGTCGGCAGCTCAACCTTAGAAGGAGAGCTCAAGTCCAGCCTATGTTCATACTGCCGACCGATATCAGACTGGATGTCTTCACCTGTTCTTAGGACCCACTCTCACCAACTACAGGCCTTCCGGTACAGGGAAACTAAATTCGACCAGATCTGATGTGTGGTCTTGAGTTAGATTTTGGAATTTCGTATTCAATACGAACAGCTCAACTGTAACATTTATGTGTATTTACGGCACGTAATTCTAGCTTTGACATTGGCTACCGTAGCAGCGCGTTATACTCGACACTCTGCACGTGAAAGCAGCACCAGTATCACCATCATCATCATCATTCAGTTTCGCAATATCATAATTAAAATGAGATCTGGTCGGCCTGCCTCAATGTCGGTGCTGTACTGATTGCTTAGTGGGCCGATGTTAACGTTTAGGCGTTGGCCTTAACCGAAACATCGCAAACACAATAACAGGCACGGCGACGATGACAACAACAACAACAACTGTAACAGCAGACCAAGCGTCGGATTATTACGCGGCAGAGTTCAGTGGGCGCGGACGTGCGAGACGTCCGAAATACCATGCTTACCTAGCCGAACACTGCTGCCTCGCACGATGTATGGCTCGCAAAAATAAGTTTTTGCCAATTCCCAGTAAACTTTTTCTATTGAAAAGGGAAAAATCTTTCTCAACTTAACAGCTCATTAACTAGCTGTCAACAAAATCTGATCGTTTCATGATGACGCCGTATTTTCTTCTACATGACAGTTCAAAGAGACCTACTCCGAGAGCAGACTTACGTGCCTGGGTCTCAGCGATTTAGGCTAGGGATTATATTTATGACGAACACCGAAGTTAAGACAAATCTTTCTGTGGATGACGGTTGTTTTCTTCTAACTTTTCAGCCCTGACATCGAATATATATAGTTCCACACATTCCAGGTGCGTCTTGAACCTTTCCAAATATATATACTAGCGGAATTTTTTTTTGCTTTTGTAACAAACGTTTGTTCTGGGTTATACAGTGCAAATGACCGCAGCTGGCTTACCCTGTCCGAAAAAAGTGTGTACACTATCTACGGTAGGCTTCAGCGTTCATTTGCATACAACTAATATTCCTTACAATTTTAGGCTTCCTTTGATATTGTAGCGCAATTTTCGACTCGGTTGCAAATCTTCCCGAGTGCTCGGCTCTTCGCGTAAACTTGAATGTAAGTTGGCGTCAGATTTGGAAAGCGGCCAGCGTGTTGAAAAGTTCTCGCGATGACGTAGGTGCGCCGTCCTGTTGCACATTTGCAGATCTCATTCGTCATCCCTCCCGAACGCGTGTTGAAACAGATACTCGCATTTTTGGATAGTTAAGACTTGTCGTGTAAAGTTCCTAACAGCGGAACTATAATCGATGCATTGCAATGTGCAGCACGAGTACAAAATTTACCTCGAAATTTAGGCGCCGTGCTGATTTGACCGCCTGAACATATCTTCTTCCATTTATCTAATTCGCCTATAGCCAGCGAGTGGAGCGTATTTCTAAGCTTGTCGATACCAACAATTACTAAGCTACTATATATATATATATATGTGTTTATACAAGCGATTGCCACTCGTGAATAACAGCTATTTATTATCGTATATGCTAGATAAACATGTTATTCTTAAATGCGCGGTGGGTTAGTTTTGTGTTAGGCTCCAAGTCGAAAGGAAAAGCGGTCCAAACAGCCATGTTTGGACGTTACGTGTCGTTGGAATGGACGCTGCGAAAATAAAGTGTTCATCATCTGTCACATGGCAGCTGTTAAGTTGCTAGCGTCGCGTCGTGCGTTGCTTGATTTCATCTGCTGATCAGCATTGCTAACGAGCTCGTCGACGCCTTGCACATGTATGGTGAAGCGTCCGTTTGACATCATCGGCGACATAACGGCGGTGGCACCAGCGGCGACGAAGACAAGAGCGACGGTAGTAGCCTAGTGAAGGAGCAACATCGCTGTAATCCATCGAGTCCGATTGTCCCGCGATTCTGCTGGGAGCCATTCAACCGCGGCCGCTGACGCCGAAATGACGTCCAGCTGGTGCTTATTGACCGAGTGATTTGGCATTCGAGTGAAATCATTCGACGGGTGCTCACACGTAGACAGCCCGCATGACTGACCTCCACCCAACAATGCCTCAGAAAAGGTGCCGAGTTTTCCGAGTAGCCCATGTTTCGCTCGGAAAAAGCTTACACACTACCCATTCTATCCTAGTCGATCTTGCTGTCCATCGTCTCGTGCGACAGTTCTCGAATAACGTACGAGTACGGCTCAATGGTGTGCACGTTCGTTTGTGTAAGTGTTAGCAATCCAGCTGGGTTTCCCAGACAAAGGGGACTGTACAGATCCATAAAAATATACTAGGAACAATCGTATTTTGCAATAACGTAAGCAGCTGCGGTTCGGTGTATATGTACAGGTTTGTGTTTCGGAGCTAATTATAGAATGCGTATGCTTGCTAATTCGATGAAGTTAAGCTCTCGTGTTCGGTTTGTATTGTATCTTGAAAGTGAGTCACCATCCGCGAACCGCTTGTGTATGTTAGACGCCCGCAGATAAAGGGTTTCTCCTTGCCGGGGACATGTAGTTAGTTAGGGGAAATGAGTGAAATCGAAGGTACACATTCTAGACAGAGCGCTACGCTGTGACGATGGCTTTTGAATTGTCAATCTTAAAGCCAGAGTGCTAGCTATGCTTCACAGTGGAGTTAAGTGTATCTACAGTGTACGCCCTGTTTATCTCCATCTCTGACCGTCTGCGTGGTTCCTCTCTCTTCAGGGGACTGGAAATTGATAGCTGGAGCAGTAGTAAAAATAAAAGACAGAAGTGAGCTATTACAATGGGAGATGAGCGGGCCACAGTGTGAGGAAGACCAAAGCGGAAGGGAAATGAGCTATGGACTGAAGCGTGGATTACTTTAGTTTCTCGAGAGTTGTTCGTCCGACTGGCTCGCTTAGGTCTATGCCGTGATCATTTCATCTGGATCACTAAATCCGATGATTGCAGGCTGACTACGTCGGCCACCACGACGCCCTACCTGCACATATGAAGCATATAGCCCTACCCATGAGCAAGTGAACGCTATTCATGTGCCGGTGGTCCTATCGTCGGTGCGCTGGAGTAGCCTGTATCATAATGTCAACGAGCGTGTGCTACGGGGAAGGGGGCACGGAAGGAGATGCAGGTAGTCGCCGGTCGCCAGTAAATAGCATAGTCGGACTTAGCTACATTTGTCTGCTACATGATTGCGATGACATGAATAGGGTTAGCCAACACAAGACGACACATTGAGATGTCAGTCATACTGGCCGTTGAGAAAAGAAACGGGGCTAGCAACTGATAATTTATGGCTATTTAGGTACTATGTAGTAGGAGTGACATAGTAGGAATTATGACTTTATGTGATGATTGTCTTTTTGTAAGAAAACTCATTGTCAGTAGAGGTCAGTTGGTGTATAAATGTGTTATGGGCCGCCGTAGAATAGAGTGCGTCTTTAGCTACTCTAACATAGTGAGTACATAGCTGGCGGTACGCCAGCATGAGTGGGTCACAAGTTACTTCTCAAAGCAGCCTGTTATAAGTCCAACTGCAACGAATGTACTTCAGAAGAAGCGGTGCAGTCGGTTCGTCATAACTTAGTATTGTGTAGCACGCACGGAGGTTCGGATGACATTGGGTTGAGGGACGGGACGGGAGGGGATAGATAGCTCAGGATTTACTCGAAATGATCACTAACTTACGTACTACTCTTCAGCCGGACAACTACAAGCAGACGAGTAGTGCGTCGAACAGCTTCTTGCCAGCAGTTGACCGCTGTCGCTGTAGTGAATCCGCTGATGTGGCTGGCTTAGGAGGCGTAGGTTGACAGCCACTGGTGCAGTATCATCACAGGGCATAATCGTTGGTTGAACTGCCCCTTAGCTTTTTGTCTGTATGTGGTCTGCCTATATGACTGTTCAAAGCGGCACTTGCGGAAATGGGCGCCACCCCAAATCGCTGGTCAGTACAATGTATTTTCGTTGTTGGGTCGGGAGAGAGAATCGGTTATGTGGCTCAACATTTAGGTAGTCGATAGCGACAAACGGCTCAATCATCCAGATGCTAAATACAAAAAAGTGACAGCGTTTCAAATTATTCGACAAAATGAGATGAGCTACATTGTAGTATTTATCATATGATAATGCCGTACACTTTATAATGGCCAATCTCGGCTTCAGCAAAGGACATTGAATAATCCGTAATTAGTGAAATTAAGACGAACCGGTATGAATTGATAATATAAACCCTTTTCGGCTTATACAGTGTGATATTATTATTACTTCAAATTTTACCGATGACAAACATTTTCCTCTAGTTAGCGATATAATCCTATATCGATAAACATCAGCTTGACGTTAGGTACACAATGATGAGCGATACGAGCGTCCTACTCTGGAAGGTCTTGTGATCTCTAACTGTATGCTTATGTGAGTTTCATTTACTGATCTTATTTATTAGATCATATTTTTTTAAAAAAACATGTTCAGTTTTGATCCAGAATTAAAATAGAAACAACTTCCGTCGCTGGTTTGTACTTGTGGTCGGCAACAATGGCGGTATTTAATTCAGACACGTTTTTCCAAGACCGTTCCAGCACTATAAAGGTCTGTTCGGTAACAAACTGCTACTTTATCTGCATTTATCAGTAATGTTTTTTGTGCTTGGAACAAATCGATTGTTTGACGTCTAAACGTATGTGCAACCGTTCCATTATTAGTCGTAGAAATATCCTCAATGATTTAACGCTAGTCGTGAGCGTTCTGTGACATCTGTGCCGTTACCGGCCCGCGCGTCCTACTCGAGTCTCTGGACCTTCCGTACCTTAAATATAGTGACAAATTCACCGTTTATCGATTGTGTTGGTTTCAAGGTTCTTTCGATTTTTTCAATATGGTTACAGGTAAAATGTCGACGTCGAGCTTTATCTACTACAAGCACACATTTTTAAAAGAGCTGGGTTATCTCTTTGTCTCTTTGATCTCTTTGTCTGGCAGAACTTTTAATGTGCATATATATCCCTTAAAATAGCTTCATTCTAACGTAACAGGGTGGCTAGTTGTGGATGCTAAGTGGTTCATGTTGAAATTCAGAAAGCTTACTCTGGCTTAGCACATAAAGATCGGTCGCATAATATAGAATTCACCTCCATCTTTATACGTGAACCTTCAGATTGTTCGATTAGGCATATTCGATGGCGTGATTTTGTGTGTATTAAAAAAAAAAACAGTGTATCTCTCTTTGCCGAGTCGTACAATTATAACCGAGCAATTCTATGTGACAGTTTCGGTTAGCACCATCTAAAAAAAAGAAAACGAAGCCGGTAGCTCTGCTGTTAACCGGTTATTTTAGATTAACAAAATAAGACATTCATGTAAGAGAACGGACGGTCTAACGTTGCGTAACAATGTATCGACTTAATTAGGATCTTCCGGTTAGTACGTAAAGGTCCACAATATGGATTACATAGTTTCCCTGTATTGGTTCTATCCATGGTGGTTGTGAAGAGTAGAATAAGTCACTTGTTGCGTTGACTAGTTGCAATTGTGGTGATAGTAACACTGACATCGTAGGTCTCCTGGACGACGTCGTGCAGGGGGCGATCGGGAGAGTCGTTTTTTGGTCAGCGAAAGAAAACAACGAAACTTCAAGTTGATTTTTGAGTCGCAGTAGAGACGCTGCCGTTGTGTCGCTACTTAAAGTTCTGTTGATTTTTGTCTTTTTCGTTGATCTTTTGCTAGTTCCACTAGCTGTTCGTTCTCACGTCGTCACTTTCTGTACCTCGGATAGGGGGCGACCAACGCTCACGTTCTGCGCAGTAGCTGTGCGGTTCCAGAATGATCTGCAGCGGAACAAAGAAACTCCACCGGATTGATATGCGTCTAGTTCAGGACTCTCATTAATTTTGCATGGAGTAAGTGCTTCAATATTATTCAGACGAACAGATGTGCATATTGAATCCAGAGTTATTTTTACATGAGATAAAGTATCTTCACAAACGTTTGATAGGAAGGGTATATAGGCACGACTCAAAACACAGGCGGTGTTGCTTTGAGCTGTTACTTAACTAGACTCACGTATTGTGCTGACGGGGACGGGTAGCTCAAGTAGAGCGTGCCTACTTAAACGAACAACCAGCAGCACACGTGTGCATCAACATTCACACAACGCGAGATAGAATAACCGGCCATGGCGGCCAAGAGATCTGTCCACTCAGGGGACTATAAACAGCAGTAATGGGTGAGCCACGATGTCAGCTTGACGTTCATTTCGAGGGCTGTACATTGCATTCGCGGGGCCAGCGGTCCGAAACGGACAACGGCCACCAGAAGAGACAGGCGATCGGAAAAGCAGTAAGAGGCGTCCTGCCCAGAGAGTTCAATTTAGTTTCCATGTGGCCGAGTACAGCTTCGACAAGTCGTCTTTTGTCCGCCTCTAGCTTATGAATGATGCAGATTTCATGCTGGTAAAAAGAAGTGCACACGTTTTTTTTGATATTGTTGCTACCCACGACGATCAGCATCAGTGGGACTACTGCATCTCTTCGAAGCTCAGTGTGTTATCAAAGATTCGCATAATTCGCATCTTACCATAAGATACTTCACCGGTATCACTATATCGTAAATCAATGAAGTGATCTTTATTAATCAGTAATTAACTTAGTTAACAAATATCGCATTGGCTTCTTTAAAACCATTATATAATAGAGATAGTTCTCGCTGTCTCAAGCGAAGCTTGTAGTGTCAATCTCCCGTTAGAAAATTTAGTTAGACAGATATCAAAACAGCTTCTATATTCAGTGTCTACGTACATTTAACGTTATTGCGACCAATGCCAAATGTATTTTAATCGAATCCTACCCTGTATGGCATATGAGCCATATGACAATGCTGATAACTCTCAGATCAAGCCAAGGCAAAAGAATATACTAGGGAAAGGTTCAACATGCTCCCAATTTACTACTTGCCATAGGAAGTTTGCTATATGTTGACAGGCGTAATCACAGAGATCGTTTGAAGATCATGTACGCTTGTAATTTCTTTTGTTGCGGCGGCGGCGGCGGCGGCGGCATATCGTTAAGAATGTCTTACTGAAGAATGGCCTGCATTTACTTAGTAATTCTATTATGGGAAGGATATCATGCTGTAGAGCGTTGCGGAGTCACAGAGTAACTGCTTTATATACAGGGAAAAAAAAAAAGGTTTAACTGTGATTGGTTTTATTCACAAAAAGTAACAGGGGACGGTGTCGTCGTCGTCGTCATGTTACACTTTTAACAACACGTCTTAGTAGATCACTGACGGGTCAGTAGAGCGTAATTATACTTGAGACGAAATTGGGGGAGACAATTTATACGGGGCAGCGCAAATCCTGTTCTCGATGCTGCCCAAAAAGTGGAAGATGGCTCAAATAGATAACTGTATGCTGTTCCTTTCCAGCCGGTTCTTGTTTGGCTCACGAAATTTTCCGTTTTAACTGCACTCTGCCCACGTTTTAGTTTGCACAATAATAAAAATAAACGACTTTTGCGTATAATTCATGCAAACAAGGCAAGCAGCGTAATATACCATAGTACTCAAGGGTATTTTCCTGAGCGTAGCAGAGTAAAGCGTTTCTTGGATGAAACACATTGCTCTGATTCGGAGATGGTGCCGCCGTGTGCGAAACTAGATCTATCCGCTATTTGTGTCATTATCGATTTTTCAACAAATCTAAAGCCGCATTCGAGAAATAGGCGTGAAAATTTGTCGTTGCATGCACCAGTGTACTTATTGTAATATTTTCTACAGGAAACTTGGAAGCCAAAATTAATTTCAGTTTTTTTTACGTATAACAACGTGTAATATGCCCCAATCGACTCGACAATAGTTGTTTACTCCGGAGAATTTAGCCGCATCTTCACCCCCAAGGCGAGCACACGTAAGTTTTTCGTGCAAGTAATGGAAGATCAAATTGACCCTAGGTTCAGAATTGGCGAAAAATTTGAGCTTAATTTCAAAAGCAAATACTGTTCCGCAAAAAAAAAACATTATTATTATTATTATTATATTAAACCATTACAAAACGTGACCGTATTGTGTGCTTTTGATACGCTTATTTAATCGCTATGCTACAAACTTGTCTCGTTCTATGTTCACTCAGGTAATTTCAACAAGCTATGGCTTCATTTTTCTGATAACGTCTTCGGCAACCGAAATAGAAAGCGTTCACATTTGCTGAGGGGCCGATAGATCGGCGAAATGCAAATACAGAAACCGCATATGATAAAGGGAAACAGAAATGGATACAAGGCTCTTGTTATTATACTGTAAACAAGTCAATCAAGTGCGCTTGCTCCTTTATGCGACCGGTCACAGCGAGCGCAGACAGAAATGTCAATAACATAATCGTCGAACAGAAGAGTTAATCACAAAAAAGTCAGTATGCCGATCCATTTCGAGAGGTCATTTAGTGAGAATGGTCACATTAAGGATTCTGCCGAAGGAGCTAAATTTTAGAGCAAATGCAGATAGACGCACCACTAACTGTCTCAGGAACCTAAAACTTTTTTGCTCCTTTTATCTAACTGCGTTTGGCCATATAAACCCGTTGTGGTTCTCATTGTGTGGCGGTTCTTCTGTATGTACCGATGAGATACAACAATAGCATCGCCGGCAATTTGCAACCTAAAATGATCAAGAATTAGCCAATAGAAGTGTATAGATGCAAACGAGGGCGTGTTTTGAAAGCATCTATATTAATCTTCAGGTGTGTGCAATAGCTGACGATGATGATGATAATAATGGTGAAGTACCTAACGATGTCTTGAAATCTACCAACATCCACCGTCGATTCAAGATATTGACCATAGGAACAACACAGGTAGTGTACTGTATGTACTATTAGCCTTCACGTTCTAGCAAATATAGTTAGTATCAGTGGCGAATATCGAAGTCAACCTAATGTGTCCATCTGTGCATTCTATTCCTTTGTGCTGTTGATATCGTCGAATGGCAACGTTACCGAAGGACGCCGATTTCACGTTTGCCACCGAGTTTAGTATAATACAGGCCTGGTGTACCACCAGGGCCATAGCAAACCACAGCTAAAATAGATTGGCTATAGCATACAAATCAATTAGCCGTGTTACATCAAAACGGCTGCTGGTGCTTTGGCGACCGCAGAGCGAACGAGGAACGAGTGCGTCGTTGATGTTTTCTATATGGCACGAAGAATAGGCTTCTGGCTGCCACCGCTATTCAGACATTGAGGAGCAGACGCTTATAGGTGTGTGTATATATACACAATGCTCTCATAGGTAAGTTTGAACGTGCATACTTACCAGTTGTATTACATACCTATATCGCGCGTGCAGTCAACAAATTAATCCAGGTGTCACAAGGGCGGATAAAAGAGAACGGGGAGATTACCGGACGGAATACTTCGAAAAGGGCAAGCTGTTTTATGGCCATTACACTATATGTACTTGTGAGGAGACCAAAGCATTTCAGTGAGGTAATTCTCATGTTGAAAGCAAATCATCAGGCGAAATATCATATGGCCGCTGAGAGAAGAATGAGGGCTGATCATAAACTTACTAGTGTTTCGCATCTTTTCTTCAAATGAACCAGCACAGGAAGGAACAGCTGTCTAACTATCTATATATAACTAACGAAATTTGACTGCATAGGTCATTTCGTGCTTGACGAATTTCGAAACGATAGCCTCGAAAGCAGGAAACAACAACCTTCACCCACAGTCGACTGGCATATACACGGCGTATACGGGGCAGATTTGTACAAACCGCTGTATGAAACAATAAAATAAACAGCGTTCTCTCATAGGTCTTCATTGTTAACAGTACCGAGGTCGAGTATGTGTCCACTTGTAGGAATGTTTTGCGATGTTTTTTAGGTTTGACTTGTTCTCAGAAACCGAACAAGGCGTGAGCATGACCTTTTCTTATACAGGTTAACTTTTCGTCATTTGGTGCTTATCCTCACCAGCCTGTGCCTTTCGGCCAGTGTCCTCAGTATGAGGATTTTCCATCAGAAGGCATCATTTCTTTTCGTGTCGTTTTGTTGAAGGGCCTTCGATCTTAACCGGTGCAATGGCTAGTTCTAACACGTTCACTGATTGCTTTTGATGGCAATATGTAGACAAGTCCTTTTATGCAGTAGCAAGTAAAATGTCAGGCGTAATAATCTGTGTGTAGTAGTAGTATGTCGTTCGAAGCGCACCCCACTGAACAGTGTTGCGATGTAACGCAAAGTGTTAATAACGTGCAGATGCGCTTTCCCAAACGTGCATTTTTCCATCACGATTTTTTTCGTCGGGCCTGTAGCATATAAAATGTAAAATTTTGTTACTCTTTATGAGTAAGTGTTAGAAAATATACATTGGCCTTTACCGCAAACAAAAAAAAAGTGTGCTGAAAGTCAACTGAAAAATATGGATACAGGCCGAGTCGAAACCTTGGACTAAAAGGCCGAAAAGGATTTCTACATTTGTTGACTTTTACGAAGGGCATGTTTTTTTTAGCTTGCGGATAAGTCACTTAGACATTGTGCACTTTGCAATTTATTGAGCGAGATAAGTCATTCGTAACTAAACGGCTGTTTTTCGGAAGAACCCATTGTTTGTCTGGCTCATAGCAGTTACTTTTTCTAGAACAACAATTGCTGAGGGTACAATCTCTGCATTCACAACAATGAAAAGATATCATAGGGTGTGAACGTGCAAGATCTGTAACGTTCCGCATTTCTGTCATAAACAGCCCCAGTGCATGGCAGGTAATTAATAGAAGGTTAAGGTCGATCATTCCTTCTGACAAATTAGCAAACATAAAACCGAAATTTTCTTTATACAACCAAATGAATACAAATGAAAATGAGAAACGAGTGCTTTTGATGAGTACTGTTCTTTACCAAAGGTGGGAATGCAACGCATAACCCGCACGAGAACGATGGAGAAATGCACGACCATGAATTACTGTTGGAAGCCCGTTAAATGAAGCAATTAGTGCGAGTATTTGTTTGCATTCTACGACCAATTGTAAACTTCGCCAAGGACGCGAAGTACACGACAGCTGTGCGTACATTTGTGGAACACTGATTCAAAGCATTTGATCGCTTTTGCGATTCAGTGACCTCGGCCAAGACCTCGTGGTAAATTTCGATGTCTATAGAAACGTGTACTGATGTAATGTTTGCGACCACGTATTGCCCAACGCGTAACAATACTCTTCTTACTGCCATTTCACTGTCTTGAAGAAAACGCCAATTCGCGAAGGTATGCACGCACCACAGATGTACGCTAGATCTTGATTTTATATATGTTTTCGTGTAGCTGAACATGAAAATGGCTTTTGGGACAAAACTTTTTGTGCAGAGTTTATTATTATTTACTTCGCAATATACTCAACCAGGATGTCTCCGAAGGCTACTCAATTTCTAGCTACTTTAGCTACAAGTTGAAACTTATCTACAGAGTATTTTTTGACGTAGCACTTTAGAATAGGCAGACCAGTTTCCTAGTAAATACTTCCAGGCTGAACTACGTGGTCTTGAAAAGTGAACGTAACTGAACCTACCAATAGCGCGATATAAAGATGAAAAATCTTTAACTTTACCGCCATTGGAAATCCTATAGCTGAAAAGGCCAAAGGGTTTATTAAAACAGCCTCAGTGATATACGAGGACGAAGTCGGAAACAACTTGGATAGATCGTCACACGAGCCAGATGGGATGTAAGGCTGCGAGAACGACTCATTTTCTTTGCCTTTATCCTTAACATCCCCTCCATAGATGTATTATGTATATAAACTGTTACGCGACCAACAAGTATTCCAAGCAGGTGTACGTATGCCCTGTCGGCGATAGACCGCCACCAAAGCTTCAAGCCAATCATCAAGCGCAAGTACGAAAGTAGGACATTTATACGTCCAAACGATATTAGCTTAAGCAGATACATAGGCAGTAAAGATTGTACCGCTAAACGACTTTTGACATGTACCCATATTAAGCCCATAGGGAATATCTGCTGTAGAGTGTCATGCCTCACAAGATACGAAGCACTCATACTGTCGTCGAAAACGTGTCCATCGAAGACGTCTCTATCATAGTATATAGACCAAATCTTATAAGCACAACGTTTTCACTGACAATACGAACGTTGCCATAGTAGAACCTTCTCGCCATCATTCGTAATGGAGAGTGGCTAGATGCGACACACAACCTGGACGTTGAAGGGAGCCGGAGACTAGGGCGCGTAGCTGGAATACGGAAGTGATCGTGTGGAAAAAAATAAAGGAAAAGTAAACAACCTTATCGATAGGTGCTGTATGATATATGTATAAGTACACTGGAGAGAGCTCAGGCCGCCGAAGGGTCTGTGCTTTATATCAGGCGGCTATGAAAAGCAAACTTAGCCGGATATCTACTGTACATACTACATACTAACATCCGAGTCCTTTCGTAGATGATGGTTTCCTTTGTTTTCTGACATCGCTAATAACGTCTGCATCGCTGAGAATGACGCCTCTGATGAGGTAACGATCGAGAATGTTGTTATTCACGCTATTTATTAATAATTATATTGAGCTATAATGACTCAAATATGCGTTAGCGGAAAAAATTATTTAGAGGTGGCTTTCTTGCTTTCGCTGTGGAAATTTTAATGTGAAGGTAGTGGTCGACCAATCACGGAAAAAGTCTCATGTGAAAGCTGAGCGAGGCCGAGTTGTAATATCGCTAAGAAACGATTGAATAGTTTCAAATAATTTGAAGAAAGCTGGCTATAGAAAGAGGCTCGATGTTACGCGAAAGTACACAGACAATAGGAAGTAGATCGCATCCGGCAATGATGTGCAAATAGGAAAAAAATAAATTCACTGGGACTGGAGAAGGATCGTGCATTATGAGTTGGTGCTGTTTGGCGGAGCAATGGATTCGGACCTCCAGCGTCAACGGCTAGCAAGATTACAACAAATCATTATAGAAAACTGATTCGAAATGATCGGAAAGACGCGTTTTTTTTTGCAGATCACACACATTTTTAGCTGCCCTGAAGAAAAGAGAAAATTGGAACGGGAAATTTCAATGCATAGTCCACATCTTGCGCCATCAGGCGATCATCATCTCTTTAAGTCTCTGCAAAACTTCTCGTTTCAATGAAGAGGGTGTAAGAATAACTTCAGCAGTCACAATTTTCCACATATAAGCCACAAAAAAACACAAAAATCGAAGATAAGTTGAAAAATGAGGCCGAATCATATAAATTCTTTCAAATCCATTTTTATTTGCACATCCTCAAAATCAAAAATAATAATAATCAAAGATAAACCGCTTAAAACCATTGAAATCAGAATAGCCATTTTCTATATTAAATTTAGAGTTAGTACACTTATAGGCCAGTAAATTCAATCAATAAACAAATAAGTGCGCAAAAATAATCGAACTACATTAATTAAGCTGCTATATCATACGCTATCAATTAACTATACGAAATTGATAAGGAAAAACCGTTAAACTAATTTTAATTTAACCGTTTAACTAATTTAACCGTTAAACTAACTGAAACTCCGTTAAACTATTTGCATATTATTTATCTAATTTTCTATTATTTAATGTCTTGGGACACAGTCTTGAGACTATGCTATGACAAGGGAAATAACATAAAGTTATCAATCAAATTTAACTTAATAATATGATTCGAAGGTATGAAAAATATTTTTGACTTTAAAGCGCTTAATATCTTTTTTGGATATATCGATTCGAAGCTCATGTTTATTTGTCGTTTTAGTGATTTACCTTATATAATATAAGATATAGACCCATATTCATCTTAGTTTTGTTTGTCAATACATTGGAAAAGGGGGTATTTTTATATACCGGTAATAAATAATAGAGCAGATATAATTATAACGAACGAAAGAAACAAAGAAAGAAGGAAGGAAGGAAGGCAGGCATGGAAGAAATTGCTAGATTGTGCTTTACACAAACCGATAGCCGACGCTATGGAAAATATTGATGTTCAGCGTAGCTAATTATGATGATAATAACGGCGCAGAGGAACCACGGAGAATTCAAATAGTTCACTGTAATATACCTAATTACCATGTTAATTAATTAATAACAAACAAATTATTCGTCTGGGTCATAAAAATAATTGAACGTTTGTGCGTTTGCAAGAATACGTACTATTAGAGGTAGGAGATGTCTACCCCGCCGCTCCTCCCCCCCCCCCCCCCCCCCGCGACGCTTTATTTTACCTTTTCATTTATTTACTTTCTAACAGAAAACACTGTATAATCATATTCCTACGGGAGACAACATTACAGCTATATCATAAAGTGGTAGATTAAAAAAACAGAATTTCTACATAAGCTAATTTGAACTTCGTTTGCTTAAAAAGGAAGAGGCCTGCAGAATACGTAGTAGCTTTTTCTGGGTTTAAAGCTATGGCAAACTATGTATCTCTGAAACTTTCTAAAAGAATAGACAAGGCCTGCTTAGTTTATTTGAAAGACTATTGCGTTACCCGCCGCTATAACTACAAATGACAATCGTCTTTTCATCTTCCAGAAGTTATTAGAAAAGGTCCATACAATACATAGGCGTAAGGAACTCACTGCATCTCGACGAGACGCGTAAGCCCAAACTTGCATAAACGGTAATGTATTTATTCGCCCACGAGCGTGTTGCAAACTGGCCTCAAACAAGCTACCTGAAGAAATGCTATGTCAATACTTGCATCAATCTTACTCAGCTCTTCTTTACGTCGGAACGTCCGAGTTCGA